AAAAAATTTATCGAATTCAAAGCTCTTCCACTGATCCCAATATATCCCTTAAACACTAAAGTATATGCTGAAAGGTTCTATTAGAAATTAATGGTATAATAATTGCCAAACTGCTCATTCTAAAGAATAAAAACTGTTAATATTATTTGCATAATTAAATCAATAACAATCGTCACGCTTTGAAAATATGGCTACTCCCATACTGTTCAAAGGTTACTCATACGCCATGTATGCCAAGCAAAGCAAGCGCGCTTTAAACTGCAATTACTATGCAAGAATGTTTATATATTGACCCAGCATACACATCCAACTACCGCAAAACATCTGAAATTATTTTACAGTTATAACAACAAACACCCATATACATAAGCACATTAATTGCTATTCTTTTCAACGCTTGCTAGGCTGCATATTTTCTCAATTTATTAAATTGCGTGCTAATAATTATTAGAATGCAACAAGGTACTTCCTTCCTCATGCATTTTAACTAATGAATTGTGCACGTTAAATATATTTTGCTGCCACACGCAATTGCAGTTTGCTTGTATTTTTGCTTGATTGACTTTTATCTTAATTACTCGCACGTGTGTATTGTGCAATAAGAGTTTACTAACTGACTTTTCGTTGCTTCAATCGTCAAGTATCACACAAAAATGCGATTTATTGCCAGCACACAGGCACTTGACTTTATTGAACGAGATTGATGAAATTAATATAAAAAATTAAGGAAGAGCTAAATTCGCAACATGTTGCAAGAGTATTATAATCGAAAGGAATTTGGAATTGTGATAGGTGTATGGAAAGTTAGCGTGTTCATATACCGATTTCGGAAAATTTCACAAAAATATCAATAATATGTTCTACACCACACCACCACTTACATATATATGTAGTTGAAAGGAAAAAACTTTCTAACCGAAAATTGTTATTTTTTGGATTGAAGAAATTTTTGGTTGGTTTTTCTCTAATTTTTATTTTTTTCTGCTACTATCCAAACTTTTGTTCATACTGTCATATAGATGTGTATAAGAGACAGTAATTGCGCTTTGCACAGCTGTTTTTCATTAGAT